GTAGAAACATTCCTTAAAGACTTTGGGTCATATTGACATGATTAGCATCACAGAATTGCTGCAAATGTTTTGGCTGCACATCCCTGATGCAAATCTCCACCACATCCCAAAGGTACTATATCAGTTGAGATTTGATGACTGAATTCTGACCCTACCAGTCTTCTACTCTCCCATTTTTGTGAGCCTATATGAACTCCAGCCTCCAGTGGCACAGTGCTGTCTTCTACTGCTGTACCCCATCTGCTTCAAGGTCTGATGTGCTTTGCTCTTCTGTATACCTTGGTTGTAACAAGAGGTTATTTGAGTTACTGTTCTTATCATCTGGAAGCAGTCTAGCATCTGATATCTGATATCAGTGGGGCATTTTCTCCCACTGAGGTTCCACTCACTGAATATTTGTTTTTTGGACTCTGTAAACCTTTTGCTGGTTGTGTGGAAAACAAATCTCAAGAGATCAGCATTTCCTGAAATACTCAGATCAGCCTATGAGAGACCAGCAACCATGTGGTGTTTAACGTCCCTTAAATCACCCTTCTTCCCTACTCTGATGCTGGGTTTGAACTTGGTTGTCTTGACCATGTCTACATCCCTAAATGGGTTGAGTTGCTGTCATGTGCTTGGCTGATTGGATACTTCCGCAGATGGGAACAAATATACCTAAACAAGAGGGCAGTGAGTGCATAATTAAGAGATCGAATATCCACACATCATTTGTCTAATGCAGGACTGAGATAGACTTACATGTTTTCATTTCTGTAAAATCAGCATTTTAAAGTAAAGTAACTGAGAAAAGACAAGAACAAAGAAAATTTCAAAAAATATTTTAATAGTAAAAAAGTAAAACTCTGGGTGCAAGAGAGCCATGATGCAGTTTGTAGATTGCCAAATGACATGAGTATAAAAACTGTAACAGCATCAGAGGAGACAACTAAATGAGCTAAGTCATTTGTCTGCATGCAACCATGTAACTCAAAGGACTGTAAAACTGTGGACTGTAGAGGTGAAGAAACAACAAAAACAAAACATGAAATATGGCGACATTTTATTAAACAAAAAAGAAAACAAACAAAAATCAATAATCAAACAATAAGCAGCGGGAGTGAAAGTTGACGTCAACTGACCCACCCTCTTTAACCCCTTTTCTCTGTTTATTAAATAAAGGAGAAAACCGCAAAAATAAATCTTACAGGGGACCTATTATGCTTTTCCTTTTGTCTGTGATGATATTCTGTAAATATGCTCAAATTAAAAATAACTAAAGTCTAAATTAAGGCTCTGTTTATCAGAGGAGGTACTCCTAACATGGTCATCCCAGGTACACTACAAAGACTCTGAATACAGAAGCTCCGCCTACCAGTTGTTAGCACTTTGTATCTGAGGGGCAGCCAATCAGAAGAAAATTGGCTTAAATGGGGAGGAGCCTAAACACTTTGTTTTAGACAGTGGATGAAGTGAAGGGCTGTGCTATTCAGTTCAATCCGATTTCATTTATACAGCATTGTGCTAACGCCCACAATAAGATTTTAAAAAAAAAGGATGATTCTGAACTGTGGATCACACCAAGCTAAAGAATAAAAACATGGAACTGAAAATAGACACAATAAAACTCTGACAACTTCAAGGGAAGCAACAGGCAATATTCTATAAAAATGCTACAGCATTAATGAAAATGTGGCAATACAACTGTAGGACCCTAGATGCAGTCTGATTTCTTGTGCTTAAAATGTATACTTTTATTCTGATAGTCTGGTGCAGACAGGAAGTTTGGCAAGAAGAGAGTGGAGCCACACGGTTTTTTGACCTCTCAATCTCTCTTCATCTATTTTGAACTGAGCACACACAGGTAGTCTCTGGCTTAGTGCATAAAAGCTCAACTTCTGTAACAATATTGAAGTAAAAAGAGTAAAACTGGCCGTCATCCACTGACCTACAGTAGGAAACAAAAGATGTCATTCTTCAGTCATGGTGTATCGTTGGCTGTGAGTGTCTCGGTTCTCTGAGTGTCATTGTCTGCAGACAGCAGCAGCTGGTCTGAGGAGCTTTGAGCCTCGGGGTCATCAGAAGCTTCAGCAGGCTCTTCGGGTAAAACTGAGTATGTTGGGACAGCGTTGAACATGATAAAACCCACGGTGATGACAACAAATGAGACGATGTACAGGGCTGAAAACTGAGACACACAACAGGGACACAGATTAACGCTAGAGGATTTTGTTCATGTGTGAGGCCTTTTTTACTTATACCTCCACTGTCATTAATCAAATGGAGTTGTTGTGGGCAGTGTAGTATTTCAGGTGTACGTCCTCTCCTGTTGTAATCCACCTGCTACAGTTAAACAACAACAAAATTGCCACATTTTGTGTACTTTGTGGTTGGGTTTTGACTTCTTTTTCAGACCGTTTCTGCATTGTTCTGAACTAACAACAGTTCTAGGAGGTCAAAACTTTCCAAAAGAAAAAAAAACATTTAAAAACCAAGCAACAGTAACAAGAACACAAAATTCTTCTTCTGTCAAATCCTAGCCAACCTTCACATATCCATTAACCCTCCCCGGGTTGACTGGCAGCCTATTGTCATGTGATAAAGTCAATTTTTGCTGTTTATTGTTTTTATGCAAGTTTTGAAATGCCTTCTTTTTTGCAAGTCTTGTCAAGTCAACTTTAGAATAAATCTTACAGAAAATCTTCATCAGCTGATCACACTTCTACTACCCTGTGTAACCTATCAAATCCTTAAGGAGCTATGGGGATGACAGGGTTTGCTGATGCATAATGGATGATACAGGGATCTTGACCATCCTCTGCATCATTTACTGGGCATGCTGCTTGAACATTTTCTCTAACGTCAGCCTTAGATTTACTGCCACAAGGTCAGATACAGGAAATTATTACCCCCTTATTTAAATGCACTCCTAGCATTTATTTTACTGAACAATATACCTATTTGATTTTCTAAATATTTCTCAAAAGGACAAATTTTCTCACTGGTCATGTGCCTGTCATCTTGTTTTTCATGCTCGAGTAGAAACCAACTGGTTCAACACAAAATAAATCTTTTAACTAACCAATTAAATCATTTGCATTTCCTGCTGCTGCGAGACGAGGCAAAGCTATCGCTCATTTCTCTCATTAAGGACTGACATGCATACATACAGACATCACAAACTCACCTTGTACATGAAGAGAAAGAGGCCACAGAAGAGGCTGAAGAGGTCAGCGGTGAGCAGAGAGAGGTTCACTGCTGTGGCGCTCGTCATCTTCACCACTACAGGCATGAAGCTGTATAAAGCGTACATGCACAAGGTGTAGACTACAAACAGCATGGCTGCAGAACACAATGAACAGATTTGAGTGAGAGGCAGTGGAGTGATATTAAAATCAGAGACGCTTCTATAAATGTGATTATGTTGCAGTTTAATATGACAGTTCAGAAAGTGAACTCACAGATGTGAACATCCCACTTGATTTCTCCTACTGCACGTGTTTCCAGCACAACACTGCAACAATAAGCAACAACAAAAAAAAATGAGGAAACAGCATCAATAAAAAAGAGTACAACACAACAAGGAACTACTAGGAAGTACAACATCAAAAAAAAAATCTTTGTTTGCATGTGAAATCATTACACATGAGTAAAGGTTGAGCAACCAAAACTGGCTCCTGAAGGTCCTTATATATAAGATATCATATCATCATGTTGCCTAGCAACCACTTACCAGCGGCCTAAAATGAATGAATGAAAGGCTTTAATGACCTGTTTGTAGCTTCGTGTATTAAGAAGACGATGATTTTAATTTCTGTTTAACTTTCAAAACACTTAATATATATCCACAAAATCTTCAGTATGTGTAGTATATTGTGACATCATTGTGTTACCTAGCAACCACCTATCGACAGACTAAAACCACCAAAAACCCACATTTTTCCTGTTTCTTTGTTTGTTTTATTAATTTGTTTTATTCACATTAACACTGGTGCTAGCCTTGGTCATCCTCAAATCCTCCATATTCATACATATACCCACAACCTAAATTTAAATAAAGCTCAACAAGCAAGGTCTTCTCACACAGATATCACTGAAATTCATAGAAAGTATAAGAAAAGAGGATACTAAAATCACAATCATAATCTCAAAATTTTCCATTTTCCAACTATTCTTGTTAACATCTTCTATAGTGTCTATCATGGTCTCATCTATGTGTTTTTGCTCTCGCCTTCTTATTGTTCTGAAACCAGATGAAACTTTTAAAACACAAGTTGCTAGCAAATAAGCAAACTGTGGGTAATTTTCATTTCTGACTTATGGAATGACTTAAATTCATAAAATGGATTTAATGTTTTAAATGAGCGACCCAGTCCAAATAGAAAAATAATCAAAGTGTTTGTGAAGGTCAGGTCCTTTGCTTGTCTAAGATCTGAGGAAAGACCCAAAGGATTTTGAAACCACAGCTATCGCCCCCTGCTGGCTGTTAAAAGGAATTCAGGTTTAAGACACATCTGGTTCATCTATTAAACAATGTGGGCTGGCACAAAGCTGTGATGTATATTATCTGACGGCAAAAAAGTGACATTATTCACATTATATTAATGGTATTAGCACATTAGTAGTCATTACTCTGTAACAACAGTACAGAACAAAACTACCTGCTGTGTCAGTGGTGCAGAAAAACACAATATCTTACAGTTGTACACCGCTGATGAGAGTCCCAAACAGGCCCATCATGCCCAGGAATTCAACTCTGCTCAAGTTCTTCACTGTGTGCTCTTGGCACATGTTGGATATGGCGTAGAGGACGGCGCTGAGCAGGACCAACCCATCACCCAACAGTACATCACTGGCTGCACAGAGAGAAAGCGGCAGTTAGTATAAGACACAGGCACAATTCCAATTTAACTCAGTTCAATTCATACCAACATCTGCCTCTCAGACACTGAGGAATTATTTAATATGAACCTACACTGACTGCGTTACAAATCTTTTACAGTGATAAATGTATTTTTGCCTGTTTGTTTGTTTTTAGTCAGATGAGGATACTGGCTGTACAAATGCCTTCATGCATCAAGAGGATAAACAAAAAAGTCTGACATGAACTTTGACTGAGGAAAATGGGCTTACTGGATCCCTGGTCTCTTCCAGCCAGAATGTCAGCTCCTACCATGGCCCCCACCCCCAACAAACACACTGCTACAGCTACAAAGTGGATCACCCGATATCGAGTCTTCAGAAAAAACCAAGAAAGTAACATCAGAACCGGGATCACAAAGCAGTCCAGCAGCTGAAACACACACAGTGACAAACAGGCGTTAACATGAGGGCAAAAGACATGTTGCACTTCATGCAAGCCAGCTTGTTCCTCACAAACAGACCTCTTTAGTATAACCTCCTACCATGTAAACCAGCTAAGACAATAAGCTCATCAGGAATGCAGCATCAGGCTCGCCCCCTGCTGCCCAGTGAAGTCTTTTGGTTAACCAAACTATACATGTGTTCAAAGCAAAGTCAGGAGAAGAGTCTTTACTGACAACACTCTTTTGTTACCTGTATACTTGTCAGCGTGGTAAACTGGTACGCCTTCACTACTGCGTAGTTCGCCTCAACGTCTGCTATAGCCATCCCCAAATACTTCCACCAGTTGGTTTTTAAAATCTGTAGGATGTTCCTGTCACCTGAAGAAACACATCAGACTGAATTCAAATGGTCCATAAGACCCTTTAAACATCTAAACACTGCTTTACACATACATTTGGTGATCTGAACAAACTGTGAATCATTAACTCCTTTGTGCTATTTTCTGCTCCTTTGATCTTATTTTACTCACTGTTCAAAGGATATTATAAACAAAGGGAATTAAATTAAGCTTCCCTTTAGAGGAGTTGATGCTGTGTTGTGTTCATTTATTTGCATTCAAATAGTGGTTACGTGATACAATTATGACGTCAACGTGATTCTGCTCCATTGCTAAATATTTTGTATCCATTTGTAATTAATTAATGTGTATATGTAAACAGTTTATGTTTACGATAAAAGGTGGATTTTCAGAATAAGAGCTCTAGTACTAATATTTGTTTCTGTCCGCTAATATGCAGACAGTCTGACCTTTGCGGGTGCTGAGGTATGTTGTGTAGGTGAACAGCAGGAGGGCGTAGTTGAGGAAGCTCTGCAGCATGGGTGTCTCCACTTTGGCATGAGTCAGGTACTCACAGCTGACTGCTGTCCCACATATCAGCAGTGAGAGGACCTGACCCATGAGTATAGTCTTCAGCAGACTCCTGGTAAGTGAAGAACACAAATCATGCATCAAAAGAAAAACACTGTCGTAAATGTCATGATGATATTCCAACTTGCAATTTGCTTAGGGATATCTAACCGAATATGGGGTGGATGCATATATTTGTATATTCAGCTGTATGTGCACTCTTGACACTGTGTGGTTTAGAGAAAATCCCAAATTAATAAACACTTGTGCACCTGATTTTTTGTTTTTTACAGTTATTAAATATGTATGCTGTACAACCATTCAACTCATTCAACTCTTGAAAAAATGTGGATGTAAGTTCTCTAGTTCTTTTACAACCCTGGTGATTCCACGCCTGTTACATTCACTGATACAACATACATTACAGTAGCTAAAAACGAGATTTACACATCTAGATTTGTGCTCACCACGTGAAAACATCTCTCAGGTTGTATCTGTGCAAACCACAGCCAATCTTCATTTTCCCACACAATCTCTCCTCCACGGGCCCCTCCATCTCTCTAAGAGCTAAACACATAAAGACATAACGACATGGACACCGAGCAAGATTAAAAGCTGGAAGAAAAATAATTGGGAATTAGTGTCTTTGGCTTTCAGTATCTTCATCAGACTGCCCAAGCACTGAGGTTAATGTACAAACACATTGAATGAAGTGATTAAAACCGGTTATATATATTTCGTTACGAGCTTTGTGTACACTGGAGGCGTCGACGCCGATAGGTTTACTATTACATGCTTTAGTTAGAAAATAAATATCCCGAATTGTAGTGTAGCTCGTAATGATTCGTAATACGTACTTAGTTACGTTAAAGCAGGTATAAATAATTAGTAGCAAGTACAGAAATAATAAACTTCAACTTTTCAAATGGAGTTTGGTGAACCTTGCGTCATTTATTACACTCCATTAGCTAAACAGCAAACAAAACAGCGAATTAATCAATGAATGTAAATGAATATAAATAAAACATACATTTTGACGTTCAATTATGTGGTGACATCCTCCAGCTGTGATGATTTCATGTTTATTCAGGAAGAAAAAAATCTTCGTCCACGCCGAGACACCTCTCAACCAGGATGAACAGGACTAACCTCGTGCTCGCGTAGGACCGCCCCTTACGCTCTGATTGGTTGCAACGAATTCTAGGTGACGTGTGCACAGTGCAGTCAAACTTATGAAGCTGATAAAGAGGATAATTACAGTTAGTTTAGTCATTTAAGAAAAAAATAACACAAAACGTATTTTATTAGGGATGAATTGTTGTTATTAGTATATTTGTACAAATTGCACATTGATGCTTTGGCAGTGTTGTTTACGGAAACTTTCACGCTTATAAGGTCCTACTTGCTGATCGCATACTTGCGGTATGCGGTGTGGAGATCTGCCTTTCTGATTTTTCTTATGGGCTAGCACTGCATCTCTATGCCTTGTTCCCGAGTTCCACGTAATGTTCCACATTTTTTGCAGAAGTCAGCATGTGAGTCTAACAACACACACTTTATGTTTTTAAAAAGTTGCTGATCCGAAACCCAAAGAGGAAATAACCAGACAGACGAGCAGACAGGGTGACAGTTATCAACAAAAGTAGGCTACTAGCAGAGGCTAGAAACAGAGATTATATTTCTTCCGTGTTAGCCTCTCTTCATTTGCTTCCTCGTAAAACCCTTTTAAGATAAGATAAGATAAGATAAGATAACCTTTATTTTGTTACAGCAGTGGTCAGTGCAAAGTTTATTAGAGAAAAAACACTGGAATAATATATCTATGAGATACTGTACACAATAGAATAGAATAAAATAAAATAAAATACTATATACAATCGAATAAAATAGAATACAAATGCTATATACAATTGAGTATAATACAACAATGCCAGAAAAGAGTATTGCACTTAGTGTTATAGCTATTGCACATGTGTGGATGTGTGTGTTTGATCAGTTGAAGTCTTTGTTGTGGAGTCCGACAGCAGTAGGGAGGAAAGACCTGCGAAATCTCTCCAATCCTTCTCCTCACATAAAAGCCCTGAATGGGTCCATCATACCCTAAAGACCTTATAGTATCATTTTATCCCAATAGAGCACTTTACTCTCAGCCTGAAGGCTTACTTGTGGTTCCTAGCATTTGTAAAAGTAGAATGGGAGGCAGAGTCTTCAGCTGTCAGGCTCCTCTGGTGTGGAAGGAGATCCCAATCTGGATTCTGGAGACAGACACTCTTCCCATGGCTTCCTATGTCCCCCGGCCACTCCGCTGCTGCGTGGCATTATCCCTCATCCTGAAAGACTTGGGGTATTGTTATCAGAAGAAAAGTCCTGTGAATGCAAGACATGTTTAACTAGACCTTTGACAAGTAGAAAGAAATCAAGTATAATCACTGTTTATGTATGCTGTCATGGCAGTGCAAGCAAGAATGCACTGTGATTAAGAAAGCATTCATCCATCGATTTTTAATTACATTATGTTCATTTTAGGTGACTTAGGTGCATTAGGGGAGACCCATCAAGCAGGCTTTCTAGAACTTGTACTTCCAGGGGATTTGTCCCACCTAAAGATTTTACTGCCAGGAGGGGTAGCACTGGATTACACCAGTATTTTTAAAGGTTTGCCTTCTCTCCCCATCTCTAGTATTTGTTTTGGCTATGGTCTCCCTATGCTCTCCTCTTCTCTCTTCGCAACCAGTATATGTTTGACCTTTGCTAAGCCTGGTCCTGCAAGATATGTCTTCTGGCAAGGACAGGAAAGGAAAGCAAAGGAAGGGAAAGGAAAGGAGAGGAAGGGAGCTCTTCTTCTCCACTGTCACCAAATGCTGCTGAAAAGTTCAAGTTCAGGTTTCAAGTTTTATTGTCATGTACAGATAAACAGTGTAGCCACATTTACCTATAATGAAATACTTTGGCTCGTGCTCCTCAGTTTTGCATGACCATATAGAAAGTGTGCAGTTATATTAAGAAGAAAATAACATGAAAATAGCAGTAATAATAATAATAATAAGCTTTGCGGTCCAGAGTATTACAGTTGCCATACCAGGTGGTGATGCAACCATTACCAATTTCAATGGTAATGGTTTCGATAGAAGTTTGTTATTATTCTAGAGTTCATGCTGAATCTTCTCAGGCGCCGCAGGAAGTAGAAGAGCTGCTGTCTTGCTGCTTTTGTGATCACAGCAACATTGTGTGACCAACTCAGATCCAAACCAAGGGATTGATTTTAGGGTTCTCACTTTGTAATATAAAGTAACTCCAGGCAGTTGTTGCAAATTGGAATTTTGGAATTGAAATACATTTGAGGTGAAAAGAAATACACTAACCCAAAAGTTTCTACCTCCAGTATATGCAGCAATGTGTTTATTAGAGTGGTGAACATTTCGCCTGTGATTTTTCCTGTTTTCTCATTATTTTCGCTTCATTTGTAGGCTATAGTTAATATAAAACATTTGTAGACAACACAGAAGTTTGTATAAAAAGTAATGTTTTATCTCTATTAGCGGGTTTGTTTATTCATGAGGTATGCAGCAAATGTTTAATTTGTCATATTTCCTATACGGTCACCAGAGTGGAGAAAGTATTATACAGTAACAGTATAATGTGTCTAAGTACAGGACAGGAAATGTCCCCAGCACTTCACTTTATAAATCAAACCTACACTCTTACTCAAAGAATGTAGGTTTGATTTCTCCAAGCTTTTCTTTTTTCCTCAGGATGATCTTGTCATGGAAGAAGCCCAGCAGTGACTGAGCAAAATTCCCTTTTTTTATTAATGTTGTTGTACTTCTCTCCTCTCTCCCTCATGTCATGCAGGGAAGGAATGATAATAAAGACCATGCTGACAGTGAAACAATAACTGGCCCTGAGACTGTACAAACATTTTCCTATCTCCAGTTCTGCACTCAGTGTGATATGTGGCAAATATTTCCTTTTACTTTTCCTACATATCATTTACAAGGCAGTGAGAGTGAACTAAAACAGCAGAGGTAGTGCTATGTGGTTCAGTATGGCAGAAAATACCTTCTAATGTCTCTGATTAGCTGTATTTGTTATACATTATAGTACAGGAACCATTTTTTGTGGTTTATTAGTCCTAAATGCATAAATTCTGTAAATCCTATAAGGTTTAGAGAACTTAAAAAAAAAAACTTCAGTTAGTTGCAGATGATGAACTTCAAAAAAAAATTTCACAAACGTGATTATACACCGTACCTGATTTTTTGATTGAAGTTACCGTAAAGTAATTATTAAGCAAACTAAAAGATTTTTATTTACTTTGACTTTGTTTTTTAGACTCTTTATTTATTTTTTATGAACTTGCAAAAGCAATGTTTTGTGAAGGTATGGTAAAGATGACACAGGAGATCTAGGGCCGCCACATTTTCACTATAATCCCTTACGGTTGGCAAAAGTAGTGCAGTATACCTGCTCAAATTACACTTTGCTCATGTTGTTTGTGAACATAAATAAATAATATTCAGCCTGAGAATATTTTAGCTAATGTCTATAATCTGTTTATTCTACAATGTTGTAATATGATTAATTTTTAAAAATCATTTTATGTTAAAACAAAACAAACAAAACACACAAATCATTTAAAAATAATTCAAATGTTTTGGTCAGGTACAAACTATGATTAAATCTCATAGTGCCTTTTTTCGTTCAATGTGACCTTACAAATTTCGGAACACACAATAACACTCCAAAAATTGATTGTACCTGTTAAAATGAGATGTCCACTGTGGATTAATTCCCAACAACTTATGAATGACAATAAAATCAAAGCCTCCGTTACACTTACTACACTAATGTTGTTGTAAGAAGAAAAAAAAAGCACACACACACACAAAATCAAAAACATAAAAATAAAAAGTTTTAGGATAAGGAGAGTGCAGGAAACATGAAAACCATAACAAAAACTTTAACAAGTAATACTTCTTAATGGCTACATTATAAACTAACTGTAACTAAAAATAAACCTTTTATGTGATTCTATCAACGTTCCACTACAGAGCGTTGTTAAATACTGTTATTAATGAAGGTGAGAATAAATTATACAACAAACGTAAAATGAGCACCACAAAAAGACATTCTGACATATGCCGAGCTTTAAGGAACAACAAAAAACGTAAATAAATGCACGTAAATATTAATAAACAAAAATAATTTTACTTTATTAATACATATTAATAAAATACATCTATATGTAAAAGAAAGTGGTTAAAATGATACTTTTGTCCTTAAAATATTTCTATTTAAAAAACAAAAACCTCCCTAACAACAGCGATATTTCGATAAGGTTAATCTTCGTAGGTCTTGTTGTTCGCGCGAGATTTTACGAGAGGATAAGTTGAGGGAACATGGCGACGTCTAATTTGCTAAAGGTAGGATCCACTTCGATTCAATTATTTGTACTCAGCGTCCGTGGAATTGCTTGTCATGTGTGCAGTGTGCTGTGGGCGTTTAGCTCCGGTGTTAACGAACAGCACGCTGCACCCGTTTACGGCCGTCCCGTCGGTGTTTACTTCAGCGTGGAGCAGTTAAGTTGCATCTGGCTAACATTAGCCACTTATCAGTGATTTAGCTGGCTACACAGAAAAGCTACAACACTGCTAAATGTGAAGGGAAACGGCAGATACGGGGGAGCTGCAGAGTCACAGGGATGTATTCTCTAATGAGCCTGCGTTAAAATACGACCACAGTCTGTGTGTGTGCGCGCGCTGGGTGCAGGTCTCATATCCTCTACCTGTCAGTGGCTCAGGAATCTGCAGCCAAGCTAAAGGCTGCCTGGAGCTGCTCTGTCTGCTCTGGTGGCTCCTGTAATCTTCAGCTGCTGTTTCGCTAACAAAGCTTCGCTTGTCAGACACCTATGGATGTGAGCAGCCACAGGCTAGAGATGAAGGCTAGGTATAGTTAAGTGACAGAAAGCAGTCTATGCAACAACTGTCTATTCAATAGGGAAATAACTCAGTGATTCTCAACAGTTACTGTCAGATGAACATTCTTTGACCAAAACAGAATCCGTGTGGATCTTTATTATGAAAGCCTTCACACGCAAGGCTAATGAAAGGTGTAAATAATTAAATCTGCTACATTTGACCACTCTGCAGTGAGCTGTTTATGATTATCTGGTCCTTTAGCTTTTTACTTCTTTACCATAGTGCCATGTTTTCTTGCATTTATGAAATGATCAAGTAAAAAGTAAGAAAATTAGTTGTTTTCTTCTTATTTTATTGCCAACAAAAGGTCATCAAAATACAAAATGTGAAAGGTAAAGGAGAAATGAAACACCAGAGGGTGAAAAAAGCTATGCAGACTATTTTGAGATCAACCTGTGTTTGCGCATATTAATCAAATTAAAAGCAAGAAATAGGCCACATACAGTTGTGTGATAAAGTATTTGTCAAACATGGTGGTGTTAGCCTGATGGTCTGGGGCTGCTTTGCTGCGTCAGGAAGTTGTACAGGTGGAACCATGAATTCTGCTCTCTACCAGAAAATCCTAAAAGAGAATGACAAAGCCATCAGTTTTTGCCCTAAAACTCGAGCTCACTTGGGTTATGCAGCAGGACAATGATCCAAAACATACCAGCAAGTCCACCTCTGAATGGCTCAAAAAAGAAATAAAATGAAGGTTTTGCAGTGGTCTAAGCAAAGTCCAGACCTAAATCAAATTGAGATGCTTTGAACTCACTTTAAAAAAGCCGTTCAAGCTCGAAAACCCCCCAATGCGGCCTAATTAAAACAATTCTGCAAAGAAGTGTGGGCAGAATTCCTCCACAGTAATGTGAAAGACTCACTGCCAGGTATCACAAATGCTTGATTACAGTTTTTGCTGCCAAGCATGGAACAACCAGTTATTAGCTTTAAGAGGCAGTTACTGTTTCATATAGGGCCAGGTAGGTTTTGATCTTATATCAAATATCTTTCTCTAATATTAAAATATATTTGATAATCTGAAACATTGAAGTGTGACAAATATGCAAAAAAGTAAGAAACTGGAATAGCCTGTATGTACCTACGGTGGTTGGTCCAGCTGTAGGGAAGGCCAAAACTCTTTTGATGATTGCCAGAGAAACCGTGATATACTGGTGATTGATGTCTGCTAATAATGTCATTTGCTGATGTCAGAGGCAGATATTTATTTCTTGTCACATCAGTTATTTTTCTTGGTTTCCTTGGCACAAGAGGTTAAAACAAAAATAGTAAAACACCAGCATAGTTGATCAGCCGCATTATTTTAAATATTAGGGTTGTTATGATCCCAGGATTTGTGACTAACTACACTAAAATCATAAAGGTATTTAAACTAGTTTGACACAGAGAACCCGCACAAGGTAATCAACAAGTAATAAAATGTTATATAGCCACAAATTAAACTGTGCAACTAGATGGTAGATCACTTTGTTTTGGTAGTCTAACCTTAGTCTATCTCATCTGCACTATTATCAAGTCATTGTGCAATAATTACCACTCTAAAAACTCCTGGCATTTTTTAAGTATTTTTTTTTAAATGATATATAACAAAAAAGAAACAAAAAAGCTAACACACTGCAGACTGAATCAATATCAGCACTGGCATTAATAATATCAGACATATCAAAAGTCCATCAGCACCGCAGCGCTTCTTGAATGAGTCACTATATCACCCATCAAAATGAAAAACAGCTGAGATTAAATTAAAAATCCAAATGCTTTTATTTTGACTTTTTGTACAAATCTTAAACCTGTGACTTGAACAAGCATCCAGTCCTTTAAGCTTCCCGGGGTTTCCACTGCAAAACAAGTTCAACACATCTGAGATATCTTTTCCTTATCTGGCTTCACTTCACCTAACATCATCAATCAGGCTGAGTGGTCACACAAAACTGCTTCACAACTCGATAAGTCAATACAGAGTTTATCACTCTAGTTATGAGGTGAAGTTGGCAGCATCTGACCAATCAGAAGAGTGGGGAAGAGCACTGCATGAAAGTTAGTAAAACTGAAAAGCAATATAAGAATAAAGCCGATTTAAGTCAGAGTGTGTAAGTTAACAGACTTCACAGTTTTGGTGTTAAGAAACAGATTTAGCCTACTTGCAGATTTTATATGTGGTACAGAAGTACAAGGTTCAGACTTCCTGTTTTTGCATCATCTATATTAAGGCTTTTTTTGCTCACCAGGGAAAGACAAAGACTCTGTCACTGAAAACTCTTATTGTCAGCACACTGAGGTCAGAGCAGTTTTCCAGGAATGGTGATGGTGTTTTCCAATTCCTAAATCAGGCTTCATGGTCGGCCCGTGAAGTCATGTTTTATTCTGTGGCTGAGGAGGGGCAGCTTTGTCCATTTTGATAAGTCATCACAAGTGATTGTTCTCTGTGGGGAAGATTCTGCATTTCTGCTTCTCCTCTCACTGCCTCCCATTCCCTTTCATCTGTATTGTCAAAAAGAAACCTCCATCTCAAAATTTTGTCATTGTACAGAGAAAAACAGAAAGCTGAGAAAGTACAGTATAGTTTTTAAAAATATATATATATATACATATAAATAATCGTAAATTGCCAGGTGTTTGAAAGCAGATTAATGTTGAGTTGTAGCTCACCCTAAAGTTTTGTTTTAGTGATTTCATAATTTGACTCTTCTCCTCTCCTGCTTGTTTCCAGAACAAAGGCTCCCTTCAGTTTGAAGATAAATGGGACCTGATGCGCCCCATAGTACTGAAGCTCCTGCGGCAGGAGTCCGTCAC